CCCTCACTGGTTTCCAGAACAATTTGCCACCAGAACCTCTTTCCATTCGTTCCTGCTCTCCTGAGGGAAGAGATTCCAAACCCTCAGTTGGCATCTGGAATTTAACACATTAGCAACTCAATCCAGAGATGCACACGCTTACTCTTACAAAGGTATCTTATGTGGTGAGCATAAGGCACAAGATCTAGCCTTGGAATTCAAGTTACAACATCAGAGACAAATTAGAAATAAGAAGGCTCTTTATTCAGTACAGACCTTAGCACAGACTACCAGAGATTACAAAAATAACAAAGGCTAGGGCTGTTTGCCTTAACTAAACATTAATGATTCATAGTTACCAAGTCAGGAGTATCCATCAGTCCAAAATAGTCCAAGTACCAAGGGATTTTGAGGAGAAATCCCATCTTTGCACAACCATGTGCTCCAGTTCACAAAGCAACTCTTTGTCTCCCACGAGATAGTATTCCAGGTGCAATAAAACAGGCAACAGGACAGGGGAGAGAGCAAGAGAGCTCACTCCCATAGGGATCAATCAATTATACCCCAATCTAATCATGATTAGCCGTGGCCATCAGCCAATCGCGAGTAGCAGGGGTGTGTGGCCAATTGTTTGGTTGCCATGGTTGCTAACATCAGGTGTGTGTATAGATTGGCTAGGAGTTTGGAGTCCATGCCTGCAGTCAGTTGACCCCAAACTCCAGCTACTTCATTGAGTACGTGACTTGTCGCATGTGGGCCAGAAAGTGTAGCCATGAGGTCTGGCTTTTGGCATGAAAGTGTGAAAGAATGTGGGTTTATGGCATGGCTATTGAGGCCGTTTGGCCTCACCATTTGGCTTGCAACAGGAAATAAGACACAGAATGTTATCATAATGTAATCACAGGAGAAGGCATGTGGATATAGAAAACAGAAAGCATATAGATATAGAGTATGGGGGGCTCGGGGGCTGGCGCCTTCCCCCCAAATTGCCCCCCAGAGCAACCAGCACAGGTAGGCTTTAAAGCGCAGGCATCCATTTCAGGGCACCCTTTCGCTCTCCCCTGTCTAAGAACTGGAGGGAGCAAAGGGGAGACTTGCAAATTTGGCTGCCCACCCTTTAAAGCACGGGCAGCCAGTTCAGGGCACCCTTTCGCTCCCCCCGCCGCCGCCAGTTCACACATGTTCTCATCCCAGCAAAGGGGAAGTCTGGAAGCCGGGCTGCCCATTTCATTGCCCAATCAGAATGGCGATGAAAGCAGCCGGACCTGCGGCACAGCCACTGGGCTTCGCCATCCTCCAGCGCCCGGCCTCGTTGCAAAAGGAGGCGGGCGACAGCGGAAACGCAGCGTCGTTGCAATCGCCGGCAAGGACATTTCACACTGTGCCCAATCCACAGGCTCGTCTGGATCGGGCTGGCGTGGCATGCAAGCAACCCACCCAGGAGGTACTGCAAAGAAGAGTGTGGGGCGCCTGGGGGCGGCCGGAAGGCCAGGCACCTCCACCGGGTGGCAGTGGCTGCCGAAGTCAGGCCCCGGCCGCGGGCGTTGTCCCCAGTCTGCTGAACTGACTGACCTCTTCGTCAGGTTCGCTGCAGAGCAGAACTCCGCTTCTCCGCCTCCTTGCGAGAAGGGGAACTATTGCAGAAAAGTGGGGCACAGGTGATAACCTGGCAGTAATATTTGCGGCATCTGAGGCTCATAGATTTAAAAAGATTGAATCATATGTGGGTTAAAAGATTGTGAAATTCAAGGCGGGGGGGGACCTGTCTGTCTGTAGCTATGGCATAGAGTACAGATTACGCTGCATAAAATAAGATCGGACTCTATAACAGAGGGAGCTCACCAAGCATTCGCTGGGAACAGCAGCTATGAAGTGAAGGGTTGCCTGGGATGCCGCGTTCATCGCTGTAAGAGTGTTAGGTAAAGAGAACCCCGGTGGGGTAACTGCATTAAGTCTGTTGTCACGTGGGGGTGTGTGGATCAGGAGTCTTGAGACACCCTGATGACTAACGACCAGAGGTCATTTCGGGGGGGATCGCGGGGGATCGCAGTTCCCCCGGGTGAGGTACGGGGCGGGGCACATGACGAAGCCCCGCCCCCTGCTTCCGGCTGCCCCGCTTCCGGCCCTCATTCAGCCAGGAGGAGGCAGGAGAAGAGGGAGGGTAAGTTGCTTCCTCCCCGCCTCTCCCCACCCCTGCCTGCCTGGGGCCAGGGAGGGCCTTCGTGGGGCTTCCTTGCACTCCCGGCGGCCTTGCAGGTTCACCGCCGGGCCCCTCATGGGGCTCGGCAGTGGAGCTGCAAGGCCGGCGGTGGTGGCCAGGACCGTTGGGGGCGGGGTGTGTGGCCTTATGACACACTTCCGGTGATGTCAGGGGGTGTTGCC